ACTGCTTCCTCTACTTAGCTTCTGTGTCAAAATAAAATTCCTCACTGATGCTGACTGACTAAAAATGTTTTAAGAAACCCCAAGCTAAAATATAAATGTTTGATTAATAATAAAAATAAACCTTTTCATCAGAAACAAACCTTCGTAACACAACTTGACTCCAACAGCTTGAATATCTTGCACCAATAACAAGGTTTACCTGCATTACCTGATCAATTCCAGTCCAGAGAAACACTCATCTCACAAAAATACAAACATTCACTGTTCAAATCCCTCAGGAACGGGGGACATCAGCATCCTGCTTGTTTATGATGAATTATCTCAAAGTTTATAAAATAAATATTTATATACAGTAGTGCCAAGTCACAACGGAAGTCTCAGAGCACTGTACACAAACATTCATATACATTATCAAAACCAAGTCAAGTCAAGTCAACTTTATTTATAGAGCACATTTAAAACAGAACATGTTATAAAAGTGCTTAACAACAACAATCAAAGAGTAAAATTAAAGAGAAAAAAATATATATATATACAATACACTAATAATAATAACTGAAGAATTAATAAAAAGCATTTAAAACATAGGGTCACAGATTAAAAAAACACTAGATCAATTTACACTGTGTGAAATGTCTGCGAGAACAGATGTTTTTAGCAGAGATTTGAAGTGAGGAATGTAGGTGGCCTGCCTCATGTTGGGGGGCAGGTTGTTCAAGAGTTTGGGGCCCATGACTGAAAAAGCCCAATCTCCTCTGAGCTTCAGTCTTGTTTTTGGAACAGCCAAAAGCAGCTGATCGGATGATCTCAGGGCCCGAGAGGGAATGTAAGGTTCCAGAAGCTCAGAGAGGTAAAGGGGTGCGAGGCCATTTAAGCTTTTGAAGGACAACAGAAGAATTTTAAAGACTATCCTCATACGAACAGGGAGCCAGTGAAGGGAGGACAGAACTGGAGTATTATGTTCAGACCTATGAGTTCCAGTTAAAAGCTGAGCAGCAGCATTCTGGACGAGCTGAAGACGTGAGATGGAGGCCTGGCTGATCCCAGCATAGAGTGCATTGCAATAGTCCAATTGGGTCGTGACAAAGGCGTGGACTAGTTTCTGAAGGTCGGGTCTGGACAACACTGGCTTGAGCTTAGCTACCTGTCTGAGTTGGAAGAAGCTTTTCTGCAGAACAGAGTTGATTTGTTTGTCAAACTTGAAGTCAGAGTCTAAAACCATCCCGAGATTTTTTTACCAGACTGCTTAAGATATGGCTGAAGAGAGTCCAGGTTGACAGGATCAGTGGTGGCAGTTGAGCTAGGGCTAAAGACAATGACTTCAGTCTTCTCACTGTTAAAACTTAAGAAATTTGAAGCTATCCAGGCCTTAATGTCATCCAGACATTTTAACAGAGGGTGAATGGAGCAAACACTTGCTGGTTTCACAGGCAGGTACCAGTTAGTAAGTTCTCTAAGGAAGGAAGCAGATTGTGTTGAATCTTCTCCATCATAGTCTCCCATCCTGAGCAAGCACAAAGAAGACGGCGGAAAGGAAAAACTCTGTCTTAACAGGAAGAAACTTCCAGCAGAACCAGTCTTAGCAGGTCCAGATGTAGGTGCAGGTGTACCTCCTATTGGAAGAAAGACAAAAACACGTCAAGGACAGAACAAATGATTAGAACTATTACAAATACAAAACAGGTTGAGTAGAGCAAGTAAAGACAGTGGCAGAGTGAAGAAATGTCTGTCCTCCAGCAGTCTAAGCCCATAGCAGCAGAACTAAGGGATAGCTCAGGAAACCCAAGCCAACCCTAGGATTTATCAAAAGAAAAGTCTCAAGCCCAGTCTTAAAAATGGGCAATGTGTCAGTGTCATGGACAGAAACTGGAAGTTGGTTCCACAAGAGAGGAGCCTGATAACTGAAAGATCTGCCTCCCATTCTGCTTTTGTAAACTCTAGGAACCACAAGTAAACCTGCAGTCTGAGAGCAAAGTGCTCTATTAGGAAAATATGGAACAACAAGATCTATAATATAAGATGGAGCTGGGTTGTCGAGAGCCTTGTAGGTTAGAAGTAGGATTTTGAATTCTATTCTCATTTTGACAGGGAGTCAACGTCACATGTCAATCATAACATAACTTTTACAATATGTGTTTACAGGTTTTGTTCAAGCCAAACTTGTGTTTGTTGTGTCACATTGACTCACTTTAAGCTTTAACAACCTAAAGAGTCAAGACGTTTGGTTTAACTCTCACTGAGCTGTTTCCTCCTCCGGGGCTGTGTAAGAAACCAGGAAGTAAACCAACACACAAACAGGTTGGCACGGTTTTTAGCCTTGGGCTGCTATGTCGTCCAACAGGTTTATGACGTTTTACATCCCATGGTTCTGTCTCATCCAGCAGTATCAACCCTAACTCCCCATAAGCAGGTTCGGTTCGAGGACAGGTTGCTGTTCCCATGTTTCTGAAACTCTAAAAGTGTTTCTTTCCTCTGAAATACTTGGACAGATGGGTCAACTTACAGTCAGGTGGAGTGACAGATTTGGACAGGTGAGTTTTTACAGGTACATTGTCAGCATACTGAGGCAGCAGAGCAGAGGGGTATTTCCTAAGAGGCTCTTCCTTGTTTCTCCTGCAGTTCTTAGCATCAATGGCAGCTCTGTGGGTGTGGATGATCCTGCTGTCCCTGCTGCAGATGGCCCACTGCTCCGTCACCAACAGACATGTTCCAGGTAAAAGACGCCTCTTCTTAGAAGTTCCCACTAACATTACCACCACGAAACACACTTATTTGACTTGTCTGCTATGAGAAAATGTTGGCTTAGTGAAAGTAAAGGACCCAGTACATTAATGGTCCAGTGATCACACCTGAGAGCTGCTGATAGGTTAGTGTCAAAACATCTGGAAAAGGTAAAGGTTGAACAGTCCCTGAAGAACTAGCCCACTGGTTTCAGACTATCATCTTATGTTAGGAAGAATCCAGTTGGGCATGTGGAAGTTTAGTTTGATTTGTTTATTTGTCATTTGTTCAATTGTATTATTTAATTTTATCTTGAGACTAACTAGGGGCCACTCAATTAAGAATATTACAATTTTGTATTATATTAATGTATATTTGACCAGGGTTAAGATAAATAAGAGCCAGAAAAAATTGAATGGATAGTTTAATTTGTGTTACTTGTAATGTCAAAGGCTTGTGCAGCCCAATCAAGAGAAAAAAAAAAATTCTCAACCAATTAAAAAAATCAAATTGTGCAATAGCTATGTTACAGGAGAGACATCTTTCTGATGGGGAGCATATGAAGCTGAGAAGAGGTTGGTTTGACCAACAGTATATTTCCTCCTCAAGAAATGGGAGAAAACGGGGAGTTTCAATTCTGTTTAATAAGTCAGTTTATTTTAGTCATGAAAAAACATTTTTGGATAAGGAGGGGAGATATGTGATGCTGATTGGGTGCATAGGTGGTACTAAAATTACTTTGCTCAATTTGTACACACCAAATGAGGACTGCCCTGACTTTTTTAAAAACATTGCCCCCATGATAGCAGAACATTCAGAGGGTCTCATTTTGATAAGTGGAGATTTTAATTGTGTTTTGAGAGGGTCTGTGGATAGACACCCAGTACACATGGGGCCTTTGTGTAAGAAAGCTAAGACGCTCACTGCGATGATGAAGGAGCTAGGTCCAGTAGATATTTGGCGTCATCTACATCCAAAAGAGAGAGACTTTACTTTTTTTCACAAGTACACTGCGGTCACTCTTGGATTGACATGTTTATGATTTCAGGAACAGACAGTTATAGAGCTACTCAGTGTAACATTGAAGCTATAACCATATCAGATCATGCCCCAGTGGTTTTAGAAATTATGATAGGGCCAAACAAACAATTCAAATATTGCAAAGCCAACGTATCTATTTAAATAATGAAGCAAATCAACAGGAAATAAGACAGGGTTTGACTGACTATATTGCATTTAATGACAAAGACAATGTAACACATTCTATCCTGTGGGAGGGAGCTAAAGCTGTGCTGAGGGGCAATATAATTGCACTTTCATCAAGAATAAAAATGAATAGAATCTCAGAACAAACAGAATTGGAAAATAAGATAAAATAATTGGAGAGAGTATCAACTATTTCAAAAAGTTGAAACACTTATTATACTGAAGGAAAATAGACAGAAATTGAATGATTTGTTAACTTATAGAGTCGAGGGCCGGTTACGTTTCACTAATCAAAAATACTATGAATTTGGAAATAGAGCAAGCCGACTTTTAGCATTTCAGCTACGTAAAGCGCAGTGAAACAGAGTAGTCCATAAGATAAAATGTCCTCTTACTGGGGAACTATATAACCAGCCTGAGAATGTTGCAAAAGCTTTTGCTAAATATTATCAAGATCTATATAAGGAAGAAAAACAGCTAGATAAGGATGAAAAAATTAAACAATTTCTCAAATTAATTAACCTTAACCGTTTGAACAACGAGGAGGCTTATCTGATGACACAACCTATCAGGGAAGAGGAAGTCAGGAACAGTATTCTCAGACTTAAGAATAATAAATCTCCAGGAGTTGATGGTCTTCCAGGGGAGTACTATAAAATATATGTACAGGAACTGAACCCCGCTTATGACTAAAGTTTGTAACTATGCTCTTGCAGATGTAGTGAGCTAAGGCGTTAACTTCACTACTAATTAATTGTTCTTAAAGCTAGTTCAAGCACAAAGAATATTAATTGTTTAATTACAACGGATTCTTTCTTTTTCGAGTTAAATTTCTGTAATGTGACCAAGATAACGGTGAGTGGGATGTTTAATCAGTGACATGAGACGCCATTTTATCTTTGACCCATCAGAATAAATGCGGTCATTTATTTAACAGAATCAAAATTTAACATCAAAACATGTACACATTGATTTGCTGATCTGTTTCTGATTAATAAACTTGGCACGCTTTACTAACAAGACAACAGAACATTACTGATTGAGGCTGATTCACCTCTGAAGGCATCTCGTTTGTTTTACTGGCGAATAGCAAAGTTTAAGAGGAGAAATAGATTTAAGGAGTAAGGTTAGATTTTTTTTTTTTTTTTTTTTTTTTACTGATGGCCTCCCTTCTCCCCTTACAGCCATCCTCTCCACACCATTATTATGAAATATTTATTCTAGTGACTATCTAGTGTAGTTTTTTTTTTTTTTTTAATAGGATAGAAAGAAAGAAAAGCCAAAGTAAGACTCCAAAATATAAGAAATATACACAAAGAGAGCACACGGCAAAACACCCGGCCACTGTCTGTTCACCTGCAAAGAACATGACAAAACACAGCAACAAAATACATATGTATAAAGAACTTAAAATATTCATGGCTTTGCAGTAAGTTTCCATAAATATATATGCCCATACCTACGCCTATATACATACATACATACACATGAATATACATTCATATACATATCTATATATCTACATATAAAGCCTACATAAGCATCCCTGCTTCTATTTGTGTGTGGTTGTGAGCATGCATAAGTGTATAAGGCTTCTCTAATAGAACATTTAATAGTAACTGTGAAGCAGCAGAGACCCGACCCCCAAGACCAGAGGCAGACGAAAAAAGGGGGGATCAGAGCCCAAGACCCCAGGAGGGACCCCGACCGCGGAGCCCCCAGGGCCACCCACACAGGACGAACCACTCGCCCACCCCCCAGATCGGACTACAGGGGAGAGCCGGAAGAACCCCACCAGCGACCACATACAGTGACCCCCCGGGGCCAACAGTGACAAACTCGTAGGCCCCCGCCGGAACCCGCCGCACCGATGCAGGTCCAGGCCCGGGCATGAAGGCCCGGGCACCGAGGACCCACACCACCCAGGCCAAGGCCTGACAGGGCCAGAGGACCCGAGCCCCACCAGGCCGAGCCGACACACACCCAAGCGCCCAGCCCCCGACTCCAAGGGCCCCAAGCGCGCCGGCAGGCAAGGGCACACCCCACCAGGGGGTCACGCGATAGGGGCGCGATGGCAAACACCCGCAGTTGTATCAAAGAGGGGGCAGTCCGAGTCTCGGCCTAACAAATACCCATTCATACACAGACACAATCACACAGTCCCAGCCTCATTCTCACACTCACTCACTCAAAGACATACAATAACGATACATGTCATTCTTATTCCCGATACGCACTCTATACCCCCCAGGTCCAAGACATGTACCCGCCCTCTACAGGGGGCAGCCCATGCCCAAACCCAGGAGGTAAACCCATTCATTCTCGAGTGGAGAAGAGCCAATATCCCAGACCCGGCCCAGGCCACGCCCAGCCGACAGGACACCCCCCACCATGAAGAGGACACGCCACCGACCACCCCCACATACTGCCAACAACCAAGCACGCGCCCCCAGCCGACCGCCCGCCAGGCCCCGGCAGCCACCCCGGCCAGCGGGCCAACCATGGCACCCAAGAGCCAAGCTTAGGGGCTCCAAACAACCCCAGGGAGAGCACAGTAAGGTTAGTAAGGAGTAAGGTTAGATTTAAGGATGAGGGAAGATGTGTTGAACCAGAAACATTGCACCCTTCCTCCGACATCCAGCTCAGCTCTCCGGTACACTTCAGGACGTCAACGGCTTGTTACCTGAGATGGTGGATACCTCGACTCCGGAACAGAAGTCCATTAGTACGCTCCCTTTTCAGCGTCTCCAGTTAGAGTAGCTGGGGGTCATCAGAAATCGTGACGAAGTACTCGGTTCCACCGAATAAGCTTCCTTAGAAGTGGAGCATTTACTGCTCGGGTTGAGTCACAGCCGAGGCAGGCTGTGACTACGCTGGACTGGAGAGATCTTTGGCACATGGTCAAATCCATCTGCTACTTAGTTGAGTCTCATCTCTGACTGAAAGTTCCAGCAAGACTGGAAAAGACTAAGACTTCGAAGAAGACCAAGACTGAGACTGAGTTCTAGGACTCAGAAGACTCCAAGACTCATGAAGACTGAATAGTTCCAAGAAGTGTTGCCTCTTAAAGGGGTATCCACTTCCTGTTATGTGGTACTTCCTGATTGGTTGAAACAACCAGCAGGGGTGTGGTTCTAGTGATACTAGAGGGTCACTAGAAATCAAGAGACAGCAGGAATGTTTAAGAACGGTTAGTACAGATGGAGAAATGGTTATGAAGAGGTGAGACAAAGCAGGTGCCAGCAGCTCTTTATTTACTGTCTGCGAGTTTTAAAAACAAGACACTTCATTCTAATAACTCGTCTCTGACTTTCGACCGACATCCACTACTTCTCCTCATTCAGACAGAAGACTAAATGCACACTTACTTCGTAAATAGGCATTTAACTGTATGATCAAAAATCTAATGAGGTTTAAAAATCATTAATACTGTTTCACAGTTGATTCAAATGAGTGGTTCACTTCAACATTTAGAAATGGTATGAACTAAACACACTTTTTGATTATCAAGATATCTTAAAATAGTACTGATAATGTAAACGAAGAGTGTTCTTTCATTTGATTAATTCAGGATACAATTAAATAGTCTCTTGATGAGATAATTTGTATTTCTGGATTCAAATCAATGAAATAGCAGTTCCTGTCCCCTGAAGGTCTTCAGAGACAGATTGTTGTCGGAGGCCTAGTTCACTACACAGAAGAAGACCCCCTTACGTCATGGTCTGAAGCCATTATTAGTGTAATCCATAAGGAAGGTAAAGACCCAACATTGTGCCCTTCTTATCA